GCAATAGCAATAGCAATAGCATATAGTGTCAGTCCTGGAAGCCATCTTGGGCATTGGATCTTCAGGCCTGCCACATTTAGTCTGTGGGAAACTGGGAGGGGGGATTGTATGGAGCTGGGGAAATACATAGTCATAATAACATTCCTTTCTCCGAGAGTCAAAAACATTCTGCCTGGCACCTGGATGGGTGTGACTGGGAGGCATCTCCAATTGAGACGGTTCTTTGATTGGCCCATGTGATGGACATGTGGGTGCTGGATAGGTGCTTGGACCTTCTTTTGGACGGGGGAAACCTGGAAGCTTTCAGATTTGGGTTTTCCCAGATGTGCCAATATGACATCTCTAATAAAATGGAACTTTGAGGAACTTCAAGCCTCAGAGTCTTCTTTTGTTGGGGGTGTTGCTTGGAACCCTGACATACCGTATTTTTCGGACTATAAGAAGCACCTTTTTGTCTCCCAAAAGGGAGTGAAAATGTCTGTGCATCTTATAGACCAAATATTGCCAAAGTCCCGCCCACCCATTAGCCATTTTTGGTCTCTGAACGCCGCATTTTCGGGTCTTTTTTTGGCCTTTTTCAGGCCTTATTTTGGCCCATTTTTGAGGCTTTTTTTAGCCTGTTTTTTTGAATGAATAAAATAATCTAATAAAGTAATAAGCCATTGGACAGATTCAAGCTGCCAATAGAGGCTGATGATTGGCAGACACTGAAGCCCTGTCCTTTGTGTGGGAGCCTGACTGAGGCGCAAGCCTAGTGATCTGCTGCTTGCCATCTATTCCTATATTTTAATTTCAAGAGATATATTTAATTAGAATACATTTTCAGTGAGAATTCAATTTATTACAATTTACTGTCTCACTTGGTAATTTAACTACAGCTCCTGATATTAACTTTTAGCTCAAAGCTTAGCCATGATTCATAGTCTTTTACAGTGATATTTCAAATTATTCATAATTCATTAATGATATACTGCATTAGGAAATTTTTAGATCCCTTGTGTGCTAATATGTATTTTACTTATTCTTTTTGCGAGTCATTTATTTCTATTTGCTTATACTTTTTCTTGAAAATGTCTATATAAATAAATACCCAAAACCTTTCTCTCACAACCAGACTTTCATACAGACAGTTTATTTATGCAACAAGGATGATGTTTAAAGCATGGGCACCTTGAACAGCAGGGCTGATTTAATATGCTGTGAGACATAATCCAGTTGAGATACTATCAGCCTGTAGGATAAAGTTAATTTATGTGAGAGAACAATTTGAATGCTTGAGTTATTGATAGTCTTACCAGCTAGGTTACTTATCAACCAGATGGCATTTCATAAGTGCCTCACTCTGGTCAATATAATAGTTAATCCTCCCTAGATTTTAATAAAGCAGGCCGTGCAGATCAAAACAAAGATATTAGTTTGTTTTGCAAATATTTCACATTATTTGGATAGCAACCCAGTGTTTGATTCCAAGATCGGACTGGTTTCAGCAGGAGTCGAGATTGACCTGGAGGATGGCATAATACGTCAAGGCAAAGTCATTATAGTAAATTAAATCAACCTTACATCTTGGACTACCTAGCTCCATATTGTTGACCCTTGATTGGCAAGAATTTCCTAAGGTTTTTTTCCATTCTTATCTGAGGATCCATGGAATGAACTTGAAGGAATGTTACATGCTCCTTTGGAAATAAGAAAAACAAAGTTTGAGAAATTGCAAGCCAAGTTTCAGTGCAGCTGTTGTCCAAATACAACAGGATTTGTTCCGAAGACTTTCTGAAATCAAGCAATATACAAACTTCTCATTGCTAGTCCCACAAAAATCATTATGTTCAGGAATTTTAAGTATTCTAATGAATACACCACTGACTTAAAAGACATTTGTGCATCTTCTGATGGAAGAAGAATGCTTGACTGTATATACTTTATAGATTAGATCCCGGCCCTTAAATATGACATATGTATACCATTATTCTGGCTATTTTATTAGAATTCTACACATCAATTTTAAGTAAAACAATGTTTCTATAGTCTCACAATTCATACAAATGAAAAAATCAGGCTTAGGACATTTAAACAAAATGAATAAATAAATCAGCTGTTTATTTGGACAGATCTAAAGCATGAGAAGACGGTAAATTTGCCATGAGTGTTCTTTATCTGGAGCTAAAATGGAGTGAATGTAGTGGCCCTGTTTTTACCTAGGTTGTGCCATGATGTTATATTTTAAGAGTTCTGTCTCTATGACAGGTTGAAGAGCTGAATATGGAGAATGTCAGGCTGCTTCTGCAAATTGATAATGCCAGGCTGGCAACAGATGACTTTAAGCACAAGTAAGCAATAATGTTCTAGTATCTTTGTTTACACTGTCAGTAAGTGCTGTATCATACAGGGCTGCCTATATATTCATCATGGCTTCCTTTTGTAATCTCTTACTCTTAGTTATATTTGATTTTCCCATGCCAAAATTCTGATCTGTGCAGTTCAGGAATAAACATGTATTTTGGCTTTGAATTAAAATCAGTTCTAGATTAATGTTTAAATCAAAGTTAGGCTACCTCTTGGAGGCCAAGAGCTACATTTAATAATTTTTTTCCGGGGGATCATTTTTATTTTAATTTGCAGGAAACTCTGTGTTGACTAAAAAGAACTTGGTTGCAGGATAAAGACTTTTGAAGAGCTGATTCAGTTCTTCAGACGTCTCAATTATAGGGTGCTAGTCTTGTTATTCAGCACCTTGAGAAGTTGCATTTCCATTAGCTAAAATGTATATTAGCTGACAACTTGGCAGAAAAAATGAGATACTCTATACTTTGTAAATATACAGTAGTTGTTGACAGCCTCTTTTTCAGATCTGTAGTAATAATTTATGTTAAAAAAAGACATGCATCTACATTGCTATGCTTTTCATCCTGAATGAACTAAGTCCTGTATCTCGTTTGGATTTCTGACCTCCCATTCTAGGTTGGAAGTAGAACAGGCTGCATGTGACACTGTCCAGAAAGACACACAAGGATTGCGCAAAATCATAGATGACACCAACTTCCTACGTTTGAAGCTAGAAGGAGACCTGGACTCCCTCGGGGAAGAACTAGCACACTTGCGCAAATGCCATGAGGAAGTAAGGCCCATCTTTGCACTTCATTTCAAAAGATGGCTGTCTGTCTCTAGTCCATGTGTCCATCCAGCACCCATGACCTCTTAAAAATGTCAGAGATAGCTTTCCTCTTAAAAACGACAGATATAGTTTTCCTATCCAACCAGAAATCAAGAACAGAAGAAAGGGAGCAATTGTAAACATAAAAGAACCTGCATTTGTTTCAATAAATTCATGGCATAATACACAGGCTGGTTCCAGTAGGTGATAGGAATTAGGGTGTGATGTTGGAAGCTGCTTATTCCACTTCTGCCCACTGCAGGAGGTGGAAGCTCTCACTCCTCTGGTGGCCAACTCTGATGTAACAGTTCAAGTAGACAACCCACAGAAGAATGACCTGAGTGAGACTATTGCTGAGATACGCAACCAGTATGAGCAAGTGGCTGAGCAGAATCGTGCTGATACCCAGGACTGGTACAGAACCAAGGTGAGGACTGGCAGAAAGTGGCTAAAAGAAACAAAGGCTGGATTTTTTAAAAAAACATCCACCTACCCAATTTCTGCTGTCTCTGGCTCTTGCAGGTTGACACCATGTCCCAAGAAGCCAGCATGAACACTCAAGCCCTTGAGCAGGCCAGGAATGAGTTGTCAGACCTTCGAAGGCAGTTGCAAGGCCTGGAGATTGAACGCCAGACTCTCCAGAAAATGGTACGGAATGCTCTCTTCCCTTTCAGTCTCTGTAACAGTTATCGATCCTGTTGGACAAAGCGTTTTTCCTTCCAGAATGACAAATAACTTGAGTGCTAGAGCACTCTACAAGTTGTTGGGTCTTGTTTAACAGAATAAGAGAAGACCTTGGAGGTCTTCTAGTCCAACCCTCTGCTCAGGCAGGAAACCCTATACCATTTTAGACAAATGAAATTAGGCTGCAATTGTGAACCCATATAACTGAGATAAATCTGGAGAAAATCAACAGCATTTATCTTATTTTTATTTCGTGCCAGGAGTATTATCATTCTGAGGATGAGTCTAACCTGACTTCTTGTGCTCTTAATTAATTGCACACCTCTGTCATTTTTGACCATCGTCTGTTTTGTACCAAATTATTTCTGGCTCCGCTGCAGCAGCAGTGTGTGGCAGCAATGTGCGGCAGCAGTAGCAGCCAAAAGAGCTAATGCAATCCTTGGTTGTATAAACTGAGGCATAGAATCAAAATCACATGAAGTATCTGTACCACTTTATAAATCCTTAGTAAGACCACATCTGGAATACTCCATCCAGTTTTGGTCACATTATAAATGTTNTTCTTGGCTGCCTACGATATTCTTCTCCAACACTGGAATTAAAAAGCATCAATTCTCTTTTACTTCTTCAAAATCCAACTTTTTCTTCCATAATCACAGGGAATACAATGGCTTGTATGATTCTGATCTTTGTAGCTATAAAGACATCAAAATATTTGAATATCTTTTCCAAGACCTTCATGATCTACCAAGTGCTAGTCAGTGACAGATATCTAGGCTGCTCATTCCTTTATTGTTGATGGTTGATCCCAAAAGGCAGACAACCATCCACCACTTTGATCCCTTCATTGCCAGTTCTAAGCTGGTTATTCTATGTTTCTATGTTTTGTCATTAGTTTGGTGATCAATTGCATTGGCTTCTAGATTTTACTAAGTAGAATTCAAGATGCTGGTTTTCACGTTAAATCCTTTAAAAGCACAGAGCCAGTTTATTTGTGGGACCCCATCTCCCTGAAGGTATCTGCCTGTTTCACTAGGTCTTACAGGGTGGGAAGTTCCAAGTCACTTCCCTTAAATCTAGTTGAACCTAGACATGCACTTTCTCAGTACCCATCCATCCCCTGCCCTTTGGGATATCCTTCCACTTGAGATCCTGCTCCCACTTAGTCTTCCAAAAAGACCTAAAGAAAACGATGGGACAGTATGAAGCTGCTGCACAGAACTGTGGATAAATAGGAAAGTGTTATAGTTGGAGGCACTGCAAATTTCTCTCGCTATTTTTTAAAAAATATTTACTTGTGTTTATGTGCCATCTAAAATTAGAACAACAGCTATACTGTGTAACATACATACTATTGGCAGTCAGGGAATCTGCAAAGAAATTGAAAGTTGTGTGCAGAAAAGGAACCTTATGAGGGTTCCATCTATCCTGTTTTTTTTTCAAGCTAGCCTTGAAAATCATGTGACACTAGAACCGTAGTGAAAAGAGAATTAACCCTGTTTCCTGCACCTCTTTGGTCACACTACCAATGTCCAGTTTGGAAACTTTTACGGTATATTGGTTTGCATCTTTTCTCTTCAGTTATTAATGGAAAGGAGGATTCCTGAAAACTATTATTTTACCCTCCCATGTTGTATCACTGTCTGTGTATAGGTTTATTATACATTTTTCTTCTTTTTGCACTATTTTCACTCTGCTCCATGGCTGCTGGAATCCTTATGTCAGTGCATCTGCGTAAATTATTCAAAATTGGGTAAAAGAGTGAGTTGGGGGGGGGATAACAAATGAAACCTACCCAATCACAAGGATATTTAAATGAGGACTTTCTTCTAAGTGGCTTTGGATAATAAAGGAAATGGTTTGGGAAACATTCCATCTACTGATTATAGTTGCATCCCTACATTATTATGGTCACTTTCTATTATATTCGATTTTGCTTTAGAGATTTTTCTTGGGGGGGGGGCGGATAAGCACCATTCTTTTGCAATAAAAGTAGCTTTAAAAAGACCACAGTTCTTAAACTTTAATGCAATCCTTGATGACTTTATGGAGATATTTCAGTAGTTTTCTGCGTTACAAAATATAAGAGAATTACCACTTCCCTTTTTTTCCTGGACTTTATTTTCTTTGCAATCTGAAGTACAGCTTTAAACTACCCGTATTAAAACGGTGTCTCGGCTAATGGAAACACTAAACGTGACAAACAACTTCGAATCCATGCAGCTCTGTATTACAACTTTTTAGACATGGTGTCTCTTTCACTACCCTCTTTATCGCGAAAGCTCCAAGCAAGTACGGATGCAGTTACTCTTCCCTCTCCCACACACGCTCGCCTTTAGCCCATCTGCGAAGCCGCACCTTGTCAATGAAGGAGGCGAACTGGTTGTTGAGCCCCTTGATCTGTTCCTTCTCTTCCGTGCGAATCTGGTGCAGCTTGGGATCGATCTCCAAAGCAGACAGCGAGGAGAGGAGGAAAGGCGTCGAGGTAGAGAGGGGAGAGTTGGACAAAGCGCTGAAGGATCCTCGGAAGAGTCCCGGCTGAAAACTGCCCGAATTGGCTCGGTAAAAAGAGCTTCGATTCGGAACTGATCCGAGGGATCGGCTGCTAAAGCTCGTACTCCTCGGGCTATAGTAATTGATGCTCATGATGCAAAGCGCGCTTGTGAGTCTCCAGAGGCCACTAAAGCGAAACACAGAACTTCGGTGCCCTATACGAAATAAATACCTGAGAAGCTCTTGACCCCCACCCCACCCTGGCGTATCGTGGCGTCTTATTGGCTGAGACGAAAGCCCACACAATCTTCACCCCACCTGCCTATTTACTTTCGCCTATAATTGTATCCCGCTCCCTCATTTGCATACCTCATTTGCATCCCCAACCAGTCACGCCCACGGGGGGGATACCTGAGCAGCCGGACTTATCCCAAAGCAAGACGAGTCTTTTTCCGTATATCCCACCCCAGAGTCTGAATGTTGAGCTTCTCCCGACAGTCTCCCTAACTTGGTTTTCCAAAGGAATCTTTTATGAGATCTCAATAAGTTGCTTGAAAACTCTCGGTTAAGGTGCTGACTTAAAGATGCTTTTTTTCCTTCTCTTGTCACTAATAAAAGGCTTATGCAAATAGAACGCCTCTTTATTGGCTAGCTTCCCTGTGTGCATGCAAATTGCGAAGATCTGCGGATGTCGTTCCACCAAAGAAAATCGCAGCGTTTTCCTCATTGGCTGACCGCTACCTGGGCATGCAAATTAGAAACCCCGGAGATATAACAAGGCAATAGGGCCCCAAAGGCGCTCAGGTAGCAGCGCAATGGCTTTCTCTCTTCCCCATCCTTGGAACGGCTCCGGGCGACTCTTTCTCGGTTCCTCTAATGCCTCCGTGCGTGGCAACTCCGGCGGCTCCGACATTCTGTTAAGCCGGCTCCGCGCGGCGCTCCCGGCAGCCCGAGTGAGCATGGCGGCGGCTCCTCCTTTGCTGGGCCCGGCCCGGCAGCAGGAGGCGCTGCAGGGGTTGAACGAGCGCCTGGCCGGCTATCTGCAGCGGGTGCGGGGGCTGGAGGCGGCCAACCGAGCCCTGGAGGAGGAGATCGCCGCCACCCGGTCGAGCAGAGCCGGGACGGTTGGCCGTAAAGACTGGGAAGCCTGCGAGCAGCCTTTGGCCGCGCTGCGCAAGCAGGTGAGGGGAGAGTAGTAAAATAGGACGGGCTGAAAGAGCTCCCCAGTTAAAAACCGGAGAAAATAGGATGCAAAGAAAGAAACGCGGCTGCGGCGAGAACTTTGGGGGAAGCGCCGGAGTTTGAGCAAAGGATTATCTTCAACCTGGTTGAAGTTATGGGGATCGAAATTGAGGCTGAGTGGTCAAAACAGAATCATTGGCAATGATTGGATTTGGGTCACAAGTAATGGCCCAAACACAGTGGGAGAGAGAGGAAAGGCAATTAGGCTAACTGTTTATAACCATTCATTTTACTGTGTTAGTTTTACTTTTACTTTTCTTCTTAAGCAAATTTAAGTATTAGGTGGCATAAGCATATCCCGTTTTACTCCTGTAGTGATTTTATAATCTATATCTCTATATAATCACAACATACAATAATTTTTAAATAGGTGGCGGTAAGTTACATGAGTTATGCCTACTGCCTTGGGTTAAAAAAAATATAAAAAATAAAAATGCTACCGTGGTCTTATACGCTCTTGGAACTTTCAGTGTTGGATTTCAAAGACTTCTTTATCATATTTATATCCTATGGCAATCATAAATAGTCTCTTGGTGGCTCATAACACAAGAAAACAATACCTAATAATAAAAATTAAAAGTACAGAAGTGTGTAAATGATCAGATAAATGATCATATTTTAAAGAAATAGTGAATCAGGATCCTCTGTCAAATCCAGATGAGTCAGACAAACAAGCTGGGCATAATGGAGTTGCAGGAAGGGTATTCTTAATCTCAAATATTTCATAGTATTTTAAAATGCCATTGAACAGATTGTTCTACCTGGTATTTCCAGATGTGTCCACCCCATCACTCAGGCTATGCTGATTAGAGAACAAAGATTGGAGAAAACTGTTCCAGAGTCTTCAGAATCCTTTAGATACTGTTGTAACCTCAAAACAATCCTAAGAACTAGATGAAGCTGCTAATCGGGCAATTAGTAGAGAAAAAGTTAGAATAAACACATTCCAAATTCTATGTAGGAAGGGGAAAAGGGAAACTTCATGGGAAATCAACATCTTATAAATGATGGGCAACAGTATATATTGAGGCTGCAGAGCTACAATTGAAAGATTTAAATTGGATGCACATTTTTTTTAAAAAATATGAATATGAAAAAGTGGGAACATCTCTAAGGAAGACTTGGTTTAAGATTTAAAAATACAAACAGTAACTGTGTGGGATGAGAAAGAT